GCTGTCCGTAGCTGCAAAGCATTACTATGAAGCGAGTTATGAGTTTTATGTGTCACTGACATATAACTGAATATGGAAAGAAGGCCTTTTGATGAAAAACTGATGCCGACCTAAATTAGGTGCCTTTCCCTGTTAGACGAGGTTAGACGGGCATTGAGCTTTGTATATGTAAGATTCGAAAACACGGTGCGAATACGTTCAACATCTTTCTGGCTCTATTCAAAACATCAAAAAGAGCAGACAAAGGACAATAAATCGGCCGATCACATTTCCATGTTTAGCCTGTACCTCAACGACTTTTCGTATTCTGCCGCACTGCATGCCTCTGACGCCCTTAAACTACCAGTGGCACGCTTTTTGATGCAATCAATCTTGCAGTGCTGTACCGCGTCTCGTGCAGCATCAGGCTGCTTCCTTTTGAATCTATTAGGATTTACCCAGAACAGTCATGAGCTCTTCACAGTAAGCTCTCTATAGAATTACAAAAATGTCGTGCATGCGGTTGTTCGAGTATGTTATATGTGATGAATTCAGTCATAAAATCCATAAATAAGGCAGTAAGTAGGTTCGCCAGGTTAATCACTGTACGTAGGGTTTGCGCGTGAACCTCGGCCTGAAACACATCCTATGAACAAGGCACATCGAATAATTCCACTTTTCAAATTCGTTTGAACTCACCTATCGACTTGATAATTCCGGCAGTTCTAAGTATAATGGCTCATAAGTGGATAGGGGGATCAGGGTTCCCTCTAGTTAAGGAGTTTTTGGCTAATTCCAACTTAGAAAAGTGAAGGAGGCTGAGCCTTAAGGTGAATGCTGGCGTAAGCTCCCATGTCAAGTGAGGGTGGGATGGGCAAAGAGAGAAGATAAGGGTACACGTAATATGATGAATTTCTCATGCTTTGGTTTTGAATGGTCATAGCTTTATGTCTCTTATCGACATACTATTTGAAAGCTTAAAACATGTATAATAAACGTAGTACGTCTCTTTTTTTCAGCTCTCTTGCGAATTCACATATAAAACTTTTTAACTGGCTGCAGCATCACCTGATTTTGTGCAATCAGTTTGCGCTCCATTTCTGAGAGGGACAGGAATGCTTTGGAAAAAAAAAGAGACGGTCTACGTTTACTGACAAGGTCTTGCTCTGTAACACATTGAAACAATCACATCTTCATTCATTCTTCATGCAGGAACTTTTTGGCAAAAACATATTTTTTTAGCATGCCATGTATCTCTGAGTAGAGGGGAGCCGTAGAAAAAGAGACGTTCTCGTCGAATCCGCGTTTCGTGAGCTTTTAACTGTACGTAAGCTGCTGAGTAAAAAAAACTCGTGGCTTTTCAAAAATGATAAATATTTACTATTAGCTTGCCCCACCCCGCTCCCTCAATAGCATGGCTTTTATGGGTCGCCGGAGCAAGACTTTTTTGCTGGATAAGCTTTATACATCAACACTTTGCATACCATTCGAAGCTAAGAACATGGGTAATCGACTTAGGTTTTTTTTAGCTCTCCTTTGAAGCAAAATATGAGCTGTTTTATCTAGCTTTAACATCAGCCAATTTTGGAAAACTAAATCATGCATTTATCATAACAAGTTTTTTCGAAGTTTTAGATATGATTAGAAAGCCCAAAAAACGAGTAATCTGACTGAAATATTAGGTCGTCCCGAAAGTATTTTCGCTTTTTTCAAACAATCGCCACGGTCCGCAGAACAAGCATCCTTAGAAGATCTTGGAAGCATTCGATGCAGTTTTTTGAGCTCTTTCAAATTGCTATCTTTGTATTGCAGTTTAACAAACGAGCTCTCAGAAAATTACCGAAAAGTGCGACCCACACTTTTTACCAAGGTCAAGTTTCGCTATTTTTCTAAATTCTTGTACTGATTCTTCGAAGAAGCCCAAGTAACCTACGGATAGAGCAAACCAAGTAGGATACAGAACAATTTCTTTCTCCTTCCCAGAGCTCTCCATAATTGTTTGACAAAATTTTAAACAACACTATCGAATTTTAGCAGACCCATACCAGACGAAGACTCGTCGAAATCTAAGAAATTCTCAGTTTTTGATACTCTTAAAGATAGATTAAGATTCATTACTAATTTTACAAGTCAAATGAGCGTTTCCAGGTTCGAAATATCAGATTTTGAATTTTTCGGGTACATCTTGGGGCGCCATCAAAAACATGAATTTTGTCGATTTTGTCCTCTAAAAGTCTACGAATCAGAAAAAACATGTCTCTAAAAGAGGAGAAGATGCTGCATCGAATAACACCCGAGTTGCTTCCCGAGTGATGCTCTATGAGGTTCAAGTTGACGAAATATAGAATTTGATAGCATCAAAAAATATTTCTAAAAATTTTGTAAAGTAAGATTTGGAAGGGGCGGAAATTGTTTTGTATCCTACTTGGTTTGCTCTATCCGCAAGGTACTTGGACTTCTTCGGAGAATCAGTACGAGAATTTTGAAAAATAGAGAAACTTGACCTTGGTAAAAAGCGTGAGTTGCAGTTTTTGATTATTTTCTAAGAGTTCATTTGTTAAACTGCAATGTAGAGATGACCATTTGAAAGGGCATAAAAAACTGCGTCGAATGGTTCCAAGATTGTCTAAAGATGTTTGTTCTGCGGACCGTGGCGATTCTTTGAAGAAAGCGAAAATACTTTCGGGACGACCTAATATGTTACGATTCTTGTTAGAAAACATGCATCCATCATTGGCCAGTCCAGCGATGGATGCATGTTTACTGACAACTTTCTAATTTTACTCAACTTTTTCTTGCGACAATGTGTATTTAATGATACAACGATAATTGTTTAAAGAATCAGACACCCTTTCAATTTTTGATCGTATTTTGTTATCAACGCCAGACGGGAAGCCTGACTAATTTACGATAACCCTTCTCGCGCTTTCTTTTGTCAAAACTTAAACATAGACGTGCTGCTGCCGACGATTTACCATGTACGTGTAGTGACTATCCGATTACAAGCAACTCTTAGGCTGGGTTCATAATGATTCCTATGTTCGGGGCTGTTCCCGCACAGTTCCCGCACCGTGCTGGAACTGTTCCGGAACTGTGCTGCATGCGCTGCAGCCGCTCCGCACGCATTCTAAACGGCGGGAGTTGGAGAATTTTCACCGTTTCCAACGATTTTTCTTCCAGCTTTCTTCCATTTTGTCCTATTCCTTTACCCGCTTCCCGTTTTGACCAGCAAAACTTTGGACTGGAAGCGGGGTTAAAGAATGAGCGCTTTTACGCTCTACGTATGCGACAAAACGTGTGTCCTTGCGCTCATCCTCGCTTTTCACTGTTTTTGTTCATACCTAATTCATGTGCTCTAGGAAACCTGTCTAGAATCCTGTCGTCCCTTTCAATACAGATGCGAGACTACGCAGCGGCGTTCTGGAACAAATGGAATAGGCCTGACAAGGAAGCTCCGACTAGTCGAAGTAGCCTTTCCAAATGAGTCTTATATCACTTTGATGAGCATCAAACGGCGATTCCAAATCTGCTTTCATTTGCCGAGCGCCTCTGCATGCCGAGTTATGAATTTTTCTTGGTTCGAAAAATGGTCGCATAATCTTAGCAAAATCAAATTTTACGGTCATTTCAGCGCGCAAATAGAGCAGCGTTTAGTATGAGTGTTTTGGGTAGAAGGTATTGCTTAAAAAGAGAGTTCTGATGATCAACATTGGACCATTTGAGGAATTCCGACAAATTTTGTGCTAATTATGCATCCAACTTTTTAACTCAAAAAACGCTCATAACTCGACGTCCAGAGGCGCTCGGCAGACATGAAGACAGATTTGGAAACAGTGTTCAATGCTCTTTGCAGTCGCATCAATTTCATGTGAAAATGCCACTTCGACCAAACGGACCTTCTTTGTGAGTAAAAATAGAGCGAAGGGAAAATGGACGAGCACAAGCACAAGTTTTGTCGCGTACGCAGGGCAGAAAACGCCCATCCTTCACCCCGATTCGAAGTTCTGCTGATCAAAATGGGAAGTGAGTAGAGGAATAAGGCCAAAATAAGAGAAATCTGGGAGAAAACCGTTAAAAACGGTAGAAAATCTCCAACTCTCGCCGTTCAAAACCCGTGCGGAGCGGCTGCAGCGCATGCAGCGCAGTTCAGGAACAGTTCCAGCACGGTGCGGGAACTGTGCGGGAACAGCCCCGAACATGGAAATCATATGAACCCAGCCTAAGAGTTGGTTGTAATCGGATAGTCACTTCTCGTACATGGTAAGTCGTCGGCAACAGCACTCCCATGTTTATGTTTTGACGAAAGAAAGCGCGAGAAGGGTCACTGTTATATTTTGAGTAAACGACTGTGTGCATTGCGGAATGTAAAATCTATATATAAATAAAACTCAATCTCTGTAAATTTGTTCGTATGTAAGTATGTGGCTTATAGACTCCTTTGTTTGTGAACCGATGACGCTGAAATTTGCTCCCCTATAAATGAGGACAGGCGCAGAAGATAGGCTACTTTTTGCGACGATTCGCTGGGTCCTTCTATCGATTTATTGATTTGTTTACTAACATCTAGGAAAGTGAAAGCTATATTATTCATTTTTCCAAGTTAAGTAGTGAGGGGCGGTAGAGATCATTTACATTTTGCGGTGAGGAGGATGCGGTATCACGAAGCGAGCCGGTCAAGACAGACAAATTCACCACGGATACTACACGTGTGCTGGAACTGACTTGGAGTTGAAGCAGGAGAGGAAGAGAAAATATGATCTGAAGGAAGTGGAGGAATGGTAAGAAAACATCTTAAAGCAGACGGGCCATTTTGGACCCTTGCCCCGGGCGGGACCGGGGACCGGAGCTAGTATAAAATACAACTAACGATTGTATGTGCTAACTTGAGTTTGGTAGCTTAGCAAGTTCAAATGATAGAGAGCGGTGATTGCATACTTCAACAGCAGTCGCGTTGCTGTGATACGTACAGAATGAAATGTTATGAACGAAAAACACCGTTTGTTAAACTGTTTTTTTTTCAGGGAACTATTCGCTTTGCATCAATAGCCTGCCATATGAATATAGAAATGGGTCCAAAAGATGACTGCGAATCTTGGTTCTATTTACTACTTGATCTCGTTTTAGAAAGAGGTGATTACCGCATTTTGTGAATAACTGGCTCGCTGTGGGAAAAAGACTTGTTTGCAATTATGCAGGATACGCTCGAGTATCACAAACGTGCCCGATTTTTTTGGGTCGAGATCTTTTACTCATTTATGCCTTTGTGATGGAAGCGTACAATCTATTAATCATGTGTTTATCATAGGTTTATTGTGGAAATCCATATATAATAAGGATAATGTCTTGAAGCTGAAAAGAGATATGCGAGATGAGAAAAAGGCAAGTACTCATAAAAGAATCTGCTGAAAAATTCTCTTGGCGCTAGGACTTCCAAATTTCTCGTTTAGGATGTTGCATTTGCGGGAATACAGTGCAAGGCAGAACTATGTAAGATTATGGAATATCTAGACACATTGCAGTATCAAGATCACGTGGATTACAGTTTCATCTACAAACTGTGCGAATTGGTGATTTTTTTTTGAATTTCAAAAATTGTTTATGCAGGGATAGGCGTTAACCTAAGATTTTGATGCACTGATACCAGAAAACCAGCAAACGATCCTTTTGAGAGCATATACCTAATTGTGAGAAAACTAATTATTATTCACTTTAATTTGAAGTCTGCACGTCCATCATGTTTCTTGAGCGACGACACACAGCAAGTCTGAATATCTCTTTCATTGTAAATCTTACCGCAATGCGCTGCGAAATCCCGTTTACTGCGCAGATGTTCAACGACAGTGATTGATTATTGAACTTGGATTATCTTTTATCTCTATGCAAACTGTTGGGGGCTACTGCAGGACGAAGGCGGAGAAGCAGTATCAGTTGAGCGGGCGCCAACGCTGTGCGCGTATCTTCACTGTTGTGAACCCTGCGTCTGATGCGCTCTGCGGCTGAAAAAGCCGCGTTTGCAACTAAAAATACTGCGCCATCGTCATGACAGCCTATAGTCTTTCAGATTTCACTGCTCAAGTTGCCTTTCACTTCGAGTCATATCTTCGCGTATCTTTACTTTTTATCCAACAGAAAAGATCAATGAGTCCATAGATAGAAGGTTGCAAGCTATGATAAACTTTAAATTTCAGAATTTGCAAAACACTAAGAATAGCTTTTCATGCGCGTTTGTTCATCATTACAATAGGGAATACAGTTAGTGGAGTAGGCAAGGTAGTACAAGACTCAAAGTGTACAGGAATTTGAATTTCTTAGTTGATCCTTTTCACTGCGAAGATGCACAAACCTCTGAATCTCGGTGGTCCACAACGTGGAGAGAATAAAGCAAGTATAGATGTTGTGGCTTTTGTAAAAAATACTACTTTTTGTCGCTAAAAATCTAACTCGCGATGATCTTTGTTGCCATTTTCACTGAGCCATCAATGTTTACAAGCAATTGTGTAAAAGGACTGCTTCGCGGAATGGTCGTAATACCCTTCTATGCTTCTATCTATGGAGTAATTCGTGCTTACGCTGGGACGGGGTCACCTAAATGCGGAAAAGCTAGTTGAATAGCAGTAACTTAGGGAGCCGTCACTGAAGGTGGAAGCATACACAATCCATACGATTGGGAGCTGGGAGAAGATCCTACGCAGACAATATCAGGGTATGTTGTTATGAACTTCTGTTTGTTTGAATTGTGTGTATGTCCACCATATATTAATAAGGCCAAACTAGTTGCAGAATATCTCTAAAATGCCAGCGAGCTACTTGAGCAGGCTCATCTAATGTTAAGAAGCTGACTGTTTATTAATCGTCTGCTTGCATGTTCGTGTGTCCACACCTATTTCTGAACCAATTGAAACAAACCTTTGTCCACATACATTTCGGGGCAGGGCGGAAGTCATAGGACACTTTCGTTATCAGTCGATCTCGACAAATTAATTTCCAGCAAATTCTGGACACGGGGCTGAGAGGGATGAGTGAGCTGCTGGTCACGGATGTTATAATGTTCTTGAAATTAGCCAGTTGCTTTTATAAATTTTCTGCTAACACAAACTGAGCGCTAAGAGTTGGTATACAAGGAGGAGGGTAAGTGAGCATGCTTATTCCGTATGAACTATGCCTCCCAAAACTTTTGCAGTATTTGCGTTTCTTTAGGCCAAAGGTACCTGCGGTAGTGATGTGCTTATCTAATAACTTTAGAGCTTGCAGTGCGTCACCGTGGTGAACATCAGTGTAGAGAGATGATACCTCGAAGGATCTATAACTGCACCATGTTCGTAACTTGTGCTGTGCACCTCCATATGTGTCAAAGTAGTGCGGGCTACTGACTCGCGGCTAAAGATTGATGGTCCTCTTAGGATTGTCTCTCCGTACGTTGTACACGAAGGTCTGCAGGCCGCAAATCGGGGAAGCGTTTGATCGTGTAAACTAGCATATCCAAGAATTCCTTTTTGGGCCTACGAAGAAGACGATACCTGTCGAAACGTCGCGCAATGAAAATCTATCTTACAAGTCTGTTTGGCACAAAACCAAACACAATTTCGACATATGCCTAAGTTCAAAAATGAGAGCACGCGAAATCTGATGACAAATTACGCTACAGTCACAAAATTAGCAAGGGCACAAGTTCAAAGACATCTACATTGATTATGCAGATTAACTCCTTTGAAAGGACTAGGTATGCATTAATCACTGCCTAATCTGCCGCAACATGTTACAGCTTCATGCTTCAGTTTGGATACTTTGCCGTCACTAAACTTATTGGAAACCAGTGAAAGTTGGGTCAGCTTATTTCAAGACATTTAGCAATATCCTCATTTCCTGATGAATAAAACCTACTTTTTGTCAAATAAAGTCGCAAGCTCGCATATAATTATATGAAAGTTTTTTAGGTCTGAACTATCAACATAGCACTAGCGACAATTTTTATATCTCACTGATCTTTTTTTTCAGCTGTTAACCCAAGATTGGTAAACAAGATTGGTAAAACTTTTTATTAAGTCCAACGTTTCGGCGATTTCGCCTTCTTCGGGGTCTGAAAAAGTCGAATGCTTAGAGAACATTCCGTCAGCTACCGCATCATTACCGAGAAACAAGCCTGACCTGTCAGTGAACCAAAAATCAATTAACAAGTGCAGGCCAATGCTATCTAACCGTCAACAATGATCGAGTGTTTATTATGCCAAAAACTGCCCAACGCTTTCATTTACAGATCTAGTGATCCGGCCTCGGCCTGCTGTTATCGCAGAAGCCACATAGCGTCTGATATGGAACCAGTTCTTGGATGATGGCTAAGCACTCATCTTTCCTATTCTTTTCAAGACTTTCATCGCGATCCAAAACGCCTTTAAAGTTTTGCGTGTGAGGATCTCGGGTTCGTAAGCTAAGATTGTAACCTCCATGTCTATTTCTGCATCACTGTGGCGCGGTCGACGGTGCATGCCCAATGGCGTAGTAGGATTCGATCTTCTAAGCCCGTCTAAGTGTTCTTTAATACGTGTGCATAATGGGCGAATAATAGAAATAATAGAAAGGTAATACTAATAATATAACAGAAAGCATTACATCGGAAGCAAATCCCACTGATACCAAACTGCATGTATCGCCGTTTCCACGTTTATTTTACAAACCACAAGAACCCAATCAGGTAGTAGACAATAAGTTCCGTGTATTTGCCACTTCCCTCTTTTCGGTCTTGAGCAAGTATAAGAGAGCGCGTTTGAATAATAATTTGACGCCTGCCCAACGCCGCGGACTACGTGAAGTTCGAGATCTCTGCGCCGCTGGTAAAATAAACTATCCATAAGTGACAAAGGAGGAGCCTTCGTTGTTTTGTCCCGTGAGCTCGATATCGCTATTACGCAACTCTATCTTGAAGACGGTACAGTGTATGAACCATCATCAGCAGCGGAGTTCAAAAGGCAATATCGTCATTTGAACAAAGTTGGGTGGAAGTAGCCCGATCGGAGGGTATACCAAAAGGGTTGATGACTAGTCTAAAGATCGATTTACCCGCTTGATGGTGTACACCCTAATAAAGACACATAAATTGCCTCCCAGCGGTCTTCGTTCAAATAACCCACAGGACTTCAAAATCAGACCCATTAGCAGTATCGGAGGTCCAACGGATAAGATCGCTTGGTATCTAAATTCAATACTATCGCAGCTGCTCAAATATGTCCCGTCGCACCTCTCTGATACCGCTACGTTTTTGGATCGCCTACATAGTACGCGTGTAGATCAAGGCAGCATTATAGAGTCTTTCGATGTGAATGCACTCTAAATGAATGTGTCAAACCGCGATGCTATGGAAGCTACTCTTGAGCTATTGCAAGAACACCAATCTTCAATTAAATTGCTCGGCGTGTCTATCAGAGGGATTATGACCCTTCTGAATGAATGCCTTCAATGCTTGGTATTTCGATGGTCCGGGTACTATTGTAAGCAAATTAGAGGCCTTGCCATGGGACAACTTAGCCCCAATGCTAGCTATCGTATTTATGTCGAAAGTGGAAGCGCCAGTCCTTGAAAGAAGACCTTTGCTTTACTGTCGTTATGTAGACGACCGTTTTATTGTATGTCCAACTCAGGCCGAACTCGACCTTTGTTACGAGATTTTGAATCAGCAATTTCCACATATCAGGTTGACTCGAGACAAACCCACGAACGATTGGCTGACATTTTTGAATGTTGAGATTCTCTTGATGGACTGCGACTTCAGAACAAGATGATATCATAAACCATAGCAGAAATATACTAGTGCACTACGTTTCAGCAATTGGCAACATGTATAAAACAGCTGCAAACGTCTCGTCCGGAACCACAGAAAAAATCTATTCTCTAGCATTGGCAGAAACGTTAGGAAGATCAAATGGGTACCCTACCAAAAAGCGCAACCATGGAATACGCAAGCGCAATGACAATACCAGAACTGCAGCAACCGAAACAAAAATTCCATTCTGCTTACCATTTGTGTCAGAAGAGCTAAGTATAACAGTCAGAAAGCTGAAAGACCGAGAAGAATTACAGGACTGGGTACGAGTCGTTGACATACCACCTATCAATCTCAAACATCAACTTGTTCGCTATCGAGCCTATGACAGACTATGTACGACTCCCGATTGTGTTATTTGCCCATTCGGAAAGCAGGGTGACTGTATGGTTTCTGGTGTAGTGTACCATATTACCTGTCAGTCATGCAGAGAATCATATATAGGTGAAACTGGGCGCCCATTATGCACACGTATTAGAGAACACTTAGACGGGCTTAGAAGATCGAATCCTACTACGCCATTGGGCATGCACCGTCGACAGCGCCACAATGATGCAAAAATAAACATGGAGTTTACAATCTTAGCTTACGAACCCGAGATCCTCACACGCAAAACTTTAGAGGCGTTTTGGATCGCGATGAAAGTCCTAAAATGAATAGGAAAGATGAGTGCTTAGCCATCATCCAAGAACTGGCTCCGTATCAGACGCTATGTGGCTTCTGCGATAACAGCAGGCCGAGAACGGATCACTAGATCTGTAAATGAAAGCTGGTCAGTTTTTGACATAATAAACACTCGATCATTGTTGACGGTAAGCATTGGCCTGCACTTGTTATTTGATTTCTTTTGGTTCACTGAAAGGTCAGGCTTGTTTCTCGGTAATGATGCGGTAGCTGATGGAATGTTCTCTAAGCACTCGACTTTTTCAGACTCGCCGAAACGTTGGTCTTAATAAAAAGTTTTACCAATCTTGGGTTGACAGCTGAAAAAAGAAGATCAGTGAAATATAACTATCATGCCAAGATTAATCGATAGTCGAACATGGATAGTTTGAATATCATTTCTATACACATAATCGTTTTCAGTGAGGGACCGGAACCTCTACAGCTTGCAATAATGCAATACAAGAAAGAAAAAAGAAAAGAAATTGCTGCACTTAGAAAAAAGAAAGAAGAAGCAGCTCGTGCTTTGATAGACCTTGAACGAAAACCAAAATCGAAGTCACCAAATGAACCGGGAGTAGCAAAGAGCCGCTCTTTTGCTACAAGCAAGACAAAGTCGAAAGTAGTAATGAAACGACCAAAAGGGAAACATACAAGTTCTGTATCAGCTGTCAATCACAGATCACACACTAGACTGAAAAGCAAGAGAAACCCAGATGAAAAACCCAAACGCAGAAGGTCTCGTAGATCCGTTCACAGAAGAAGAAAAAAGAAGGAATCAAGCTCTTCCTCTGATGGAAGCAGTACGAGCTGACCCAAATGCTTATTTAAGAAAACCAAAATGTCGTCGTGAATATGCCGAAATTAATAAAAATTAATTACTTATAGAGTGAGTGCTCCTTGCTTAAAAGCGTTGACATGGCAAAATTTCGTATTCCAGATTTTCAACTTTTCGGAGCCTACTCGCCATAAAAAATCCATGCCTGGGCTTCTCAGCGCATTGAAACGACAAAAATAAGCTTTCTCCCAAGCTTTCGAGGTTCGCATTCAGTGAGAAATACGTGCAAGTGGGCGGGACCCAGAACGAGGGAGGCGGGACGCGCGAAAGCTTTCCCGCACGCATTCTTCACCGATGCTGACCTGAAAACCTTAAGCTCACTTTTGCCAATTTCATACGCTGAAAAGCCCAGATATGAATTCGGGAAGGCCCCGAAAATGTCTAAACTGGAAAACGAAATCCTGCCAAGATACTGCCTTTAGGTATATAAGAATTCGAAAGGACACCTCCTTTAATAAACAGTAGAAGTTCGACAG